TTGCCAGAGAACACCAAGATTGGCAAATTCGCCACTGGCGCCCTGTGCTCTTCACAGATGAAAGCAGGTTCACACTGAGCACATGTGACAGACGTGACAGAGTCTGGAGACGCCGTGGAGAACGTTCTGCTGCCTGCAACATCCTCCAGCATGACCGGTTTGGCGATGGGTCAGTCATGGTGTGGGGTGGCATTTCTTTGGGGGGCCGCACAGCCCTCCATGTGCTCGCCAGAGGTAGCCTGACTGCCATTAGGTACCGAAATGAGATCCTCACACCCCTTGTGAGACCATATGCTGGTGCGGTTGGCCCTGGGTTCCTCCTAATGCAAGACAATGCTAGAACTCATGTGGCTGGAGTGTGTCAGCAGTTCCTGCAAGAGGAAGGCATTGATGCTATGGACTGGCCCGCCCGTTCCCCAGACCTGAATCCAATTGAGCACATCTGGGACATCATGTCTCGCTCCATCCACCAACGCCACGTTGCACCACAGACTGTCCAGGAGTTGGCGGATGCTTTAGTCCAGGTCTGGGAGGAGATCCCTCAGGAGACCATCCGCCACCTCATCAGGAGCATGCCCAGGCGTTGTAGGGAGGTCATACAGGCACGTGGAGGCCACACACACTACTGAGCCTCATTTTGACTTGTTTTAAGGACATTACATCAAAGTTGGATCAGCCTGTAGTGTGGTTTTACACTTTAATTTTGAGGGTGACTCCAAATCCAGACCTCCATGGGTTGATAAATTTGATTTCCATTGATAATTTTTGTGTGATTTTGTTGTCAGCACATTCAACTATGTAAAGAAAAAAGGATTTAATAAGATTATTTCATTCATTCAGATCTAGGATGTGTTATTTTAGTGTTCCCTTTATTTTTTTGAGCAGTGTATATTATATTCCTTCTCTTTCAGCTAGGTAAATACTGATAGTCTTTTCTTATTGTCTGCTAAGCATTACAATTATAACTTGCTATACTTATTTCACCATTTACCATAATGAGATACAAGTTTTGATTATACTTACAATATACACTACCATTCAAAAGTTTGGGGTCATTTAGAAATGTCCTTGTTTTCGAAAGAAAAGCAATTTTTTTGTCCATTAAAATAACATCAAATTGATCAGAAATACAGTGTAGACATTGTTAATGTTGTAACTGGCTACTGTAGCTGGAAACGGCTGATTTTTTTATGGAATATCTACATAGGTGTTCAGAAGCCCATTATCAGCAACCATCAGTCATGTGTTCCAATGGCACGTTGTGTTTGCTAATCCAAGTTTATCATTTTAAAAGGCTAATTGATTATTAGAAAAACCTTTTGCAATTATGTTAGCACAGCTGAAAACTGTTGTGCTGATTAACAAAGACCTATCATTTTACAGCGGTACAATGCCGTCATCTAGTGGTCATACAACATACAGGGTGAACGAAAACACATGCAAACGCAAGGCATAACCGCAAGGGGTGCTTCACCGGCTTGTGGACTGTGTGAGTTTGGGTATGCTATTTAAAACCCCCTCCCTATTCGACCACATTCCGTGGACTGTACCGCTGTACTGTTTGAGTATGGATGATAAAGAAGCAATAAAACTGTCCTGATATATATCTCATATATTCATTGCCAGTCACATTGTGCATTCAGACGCGCCACGTCCTCCAGACGTGACGCTTGGCATTCAGGCCAAAGAGTTCAATCTTGGTTTCATCAGACGAGATAATCTTGTTTCTCATGGTCTGAGAGTCCTTTTGGCAAACTCCAAGCAGGCTGACCTGTGCTTTTTACTGAGGAGTGGCTTCTGTCTGGTCACTCTACCATAAAGGCCTGATTGGTGGAGTGCTACAGAGATGGTTGTCCTTCTGGAAGGTTCTCCCAGAAGGTGTTGGTCACCTCCCTGACCAAGGCCCTTCTCCCCCGATTGCTCAGCTCGAGGAGAGTCTTGGTGGTTCCAAATGTCTTCCATTTAACAATGATGGAGGCCACTGTGTTCTTGGGGACCTTCAATGCTGCAGACATTATTTGGTACCGTTCCCCAGATCTGTGCTTCAATCCTGTCTCGGAGCTCTACGGGCAATTCCTTCGACCTCATGGCTTGATTTTTGCTCTGACATGCACTGTCATCTGTGGGACCTTAAATAGACAGGTGTGTGCCTTTCCAAATCATGTCCAATCAATTGGATTTTCCACAGGTGGACTCAAATCAAGTTGTAGAAACAACTCAAGGATGATCAATGGAAACAGAATGCATCTGAGCTCAATTTCGAGTCTCATAGCAAAGGGCCTGAATACTTATGCAAATAAGGTATTTCTGTTTTTTATTTTTAATACATTTGCAAACTTGTTTTTGCTTTGTCATTATGGGGTATTGTGTGTAAATTGATGACATTTTTTTCTTTAATCAATTTTAGAATAAGGCTGTAACGTAACAGTAAAAATATAATATGATTACGTTTGCATTCACTTGTCATTAAGGTTTTCTGAACTTTAACTAATTTGTTTCAGTAGGCTATAAAACAGATGACTTTTGTCAACACTGGTATAAAACATCTGCATTGTTGAAGGCTTTATTCAGGATGGAAAAAGTCAACATCTTAAGTAAAATGCATGATATACATGACACAAAACAATGCACTGTACAGCATGTATTGTGTGTTGTGTCTGTGTATAGTTATCTAAATATGTTCTCTCTTCCTGATCTCTCACCCCCCACTCTGGACCATCTTCTTCAACAGAGCAAACCATTTCTCTACCTGGAACCAAAAAGGGTTCTCCTATGGGGACAGCCGAATAACCCTTTTTTTCTAAGAGTGTATCCAAAAGCAAATTATATAGTTCCGTATCCCTTTTCAGCTTTTAATCCCTCTTTCTTATTGTGGTGATCTTTTCTCAGTTTCATTCAATTATTAGCCAACTGCATCAAGAACCTGACTATTACACTGAACAAACCCTTGAACAGAGGAACGGGGGTCGGCATCGTGGTGGCCAAGGTAAAAATTCATTAGTTCATTCATTCATCCATCCATCCAACAATCACTAACAATAATCCATATTTTGCCCCCATCTATAGGGAGCAGGACAAAACAACCTTGGGATTTACGGTGTCTATCGTCAAGGGAGGACCAGCAGAAATGGTTAGAAAACTACACTGAGTAGACCAAACATCAGGAACACCTTCCTAATATTGAGTTGCACTGCCTTTTGCCCTCAGAACAGCCTCAATTCGTCGGGGCATGGACTCTACAAAGTGTCGAAAACATTCCACAGGGATGCTGGCCCATATTGACTCCAATGCTTCCCACAGTTGTGTCAAGTTGGCTGGATGTCCTTTGGGTGGTGGACCATTCTTGATAACAAGGGAAACTGTTGAGTGTGATAAACCAAGCAACATTGCAGTTCTTGACACAAACTGGTGCGCCTGGCACCTACTACCATAACCCGTTCAAAGGCACTTAAATATTTTGTCTTGCCCATTCACCCTATGAATGGCACACATACACAATCCATGTCTTAATTGTCTCAAGGCTTAAAAATCCTTCTTTAACCTGTCTCCTCCCCTTCATCTACACTGATTGAAGTGGATTTAACAGGTGACATCAATAAGGGATCATAGCTTTCACCTGGTCAGTCTATGTCATGGAATGTTTTGAACACTCAGTGTATAGTACAATTCAAATAATGTATGTGGACTGGGTACAGTATCCAATAACATTTCGATACATTTGAATGAACATCATGGTAATCGTATGTTCCCCATGTGTTTCAATGGCGTTGTGTTGGACAGGATGGCAGGCTGATTGCTGGGGGCCAGTTGCTGTGTGTTTCATGGACTCCCATTCAGTAGTCGTTTTCCCCACAATGAAAAATGGTAGAGGAAAGTCTCTCAATTAATAGTAGATCTATAGCTGGTGACATTCTCATGGATCTCTTTGACTACGGGTTCCTAGATTCTCTGGATCTACCCAACCTGTTTATGATTCCCTCAGCATTGGATGGTAGTGGCCCTGCTAAGCCAAGACCCTGATCCTGTATGAGGGTATGGAGCAGAGCCCTGGTCCCTCAGGACTATGGGGTAATACCCTTCACCATGGAGGGAACAGACCCTGCTGAAGAACAGACAGCTGTACCGCTCCAGGACCAACATGATTAGTGAGTCTAACAATAGTGTTGTTATTGAAAAGTTGACTAACAATTCATTTAATGGGATAATTGCATAGTCTTATCATGGGGTCGCATGTGAGGTAAATATAATACGCATATACTGTATATCAAATATTATAAACTGGGTAGTTTGAGCCCTGAATGCTGATTGGCTGACAGCCGTGGTATACCACGGGTATGACAAAACATTTATTTTTTACTGCTCTAATTACTTTGTTAACCAGTTTATAATAGCAATAAGGCACCTCAGAGGTTTGTGGTATATGGCCAATATACCACGGCCTCAGGGCTGTATCTAGGCACTCCGCGTTGCGTCGTGCTTAAGAACAGCCCTTAGCCATGGTATATTGGCCATATACCACACCCCCTCGGGCCTTATTACTTAATTACCCCACTAGAAGACCATGATATACAGTATAGATAACCTACATGTATTGATCTTCTCAATAACGTGTGTGTTATTGATTGGTTGTATTGCAGAGGCCAGGAAGACATCAGAGGTGATGCAGTCCTTGAAAACCTTACATTCAAGGAGCACCAACGTCTCTCTTGTCCCTCAGCTCAAACGCCTCACCAAGTCACCAAGTAAGGAGGATCCTGAAAAGATGGACTCAACATTCGATCAAGGCTCAACATTTTAAAAGATACAGTAGAAACTAATTAAGACATTATAGTTCATATTAGAATCTATATTCTGTAGAGAAATTAGGACTCCTAATTGCCATTTTACATCTAGACTGTCAAATGCTTATTGCATGAGTCTGTTATTTGTTTATTTGAACTCAATCAAAACTTAGGTAGGTAAATTAATAGATTTTTTAAATAAATTGTTTTATTTTTTGGCAAATTTTCAACAGCAATGAAATCAGTCATTTGTTTTATAAAGCCCATTTTACATCAGCAGTTGTCACAAAGTGCTTTACAGTTACCCAGCCTAAACCCCCAAAGAGCAAGCAATGGAGAGGCAGAAGCACAGCAGTCATGGTATACATTGCGGATGTACCGTATACTTTCCTTACAACTCAGGACACCCTCCTAGTGTTAAAAATAGTCACTCCTAAAAAGTCCACGTGTAGTCCAAACCCTGAGTAGCAGCTTTAAAGAAGAGATACAGCTACAATATATAAAATGTGGCCACATTTAACATTTGGCCACTTCAATTTGTCAAGTTACAGATGTGTACAGTACAGGATAGGTGATTTCCCCTCTAAACATTATTTAAACGTAAAATATTTAAACAAAGTTATTTTATGCGCTGGTAAAACTGCACCACTGCTTTCTCCTGGTCGTGTGTCTCGATAGAGCCGTGACGTAGTCTTCTGATCTCATTGATGGCATCGATGCCGGAGATTTTCCTGGTCTTCACCAGATAGCAGGCCAACATGGTCCCTGTCCTCCCATGGCCATGCATACAGTGGACAGCTACACCCTACAGCAGAGAGAAATACATATGGTTGACTACATAGATAGAGATACAGAAGGCTATATGTTAATATACATCAATGGTTGAGAATAATTAGCTGTGTTCACCTGTTACACTGAACTCAGTGGTCAATGTTCATTTGGTTTCATGTGTTAGAACAGAAGTAAGTATTCACTGAATAATGGGTAACTGGATACTTCTTAACTGAACCCTTACTTCGCCTTTGGCGTTTGATTCCTCCACAATGGACAGAAACCTCTGAATTTGTTCTGGAGTTGGTGGGGTGAAGTCTATTATATTGATGTGGTGTAGTTTCACTCCTGGAACAGTATCATAGTTGGGTGGTTTTTTCTCACACAAGCAGACCAAGTGTTGAATGCCATTGTCTAGAAGGTATTGGTAGTGGGCAGTCATTCGAGGGAACGCCAGTCCTGCCAACTTGTTAGGTTCGACCCAGGAGAAATTGGGGGGTGGACTACAGGCCATGGCGAAGTCAATCTGAAATATTGTGAAATGTAGAGATTGTTTTACCATTCAACAATCTGATATATTCATAGCCAGTCACATTGTGCATTCAGATAAGCTAGGTTGCTAGCATGCTACTAGAAACTGTCAATTCAATTCATTCATGCAATGCAATACACTACTTACTTACATTCAGTATTGTTTTCTCCAGAAATCCGTATATAACAATGTCAGATCTGGTGTGAAAAGGTCTTCGCTAGCTAGCTAAACGACTAAAGTTGGGGTGGGGTGGGTTTTGTCCTGTTAAACAGGGGAACGTTAAACACCAAAGTACACAAACTACACTGGAGCTTAATCCTTCCGCTTTCTTAGAACGATGACGTCAAAGATTAGTATAGGGCTGTGAACAGTGATTTATATATACACTAGTTGACCTCCTGGGGGCACTGTTTTGAAGCCACTGCTCCTCCATCTTGGCACTCCCCACATGGTAAAACAACAATAAAAATAAATGTGATTTTGTCCTTTAAACATTTTATTTAAATACTGTATGATTCCAATAATTCCTATGGAGGACTGCTTGTTCTGAGGAGCGCATGATACTTGGCCAAAGACTAACAAACAGTTGGTATAACTAGCTAGCTGGGGGTTTCCTCTTTAATCTGTGACTTGGACACACTTCAACCCACTCAAAAGCAGCTAGTTAGTAGCTACTACTTAGTTAGCTAATAAAGAGCATATATAGCTAGTTAACTATCTACGCTAATAATGAACTATCTAGCTAAATAAATCCCTACAGTAAACGCCCATGCCAACAAGTGGGCGTCCCTCGGTGTACTAAAAAACATGATAAACTAGCTAGCTATAATTCCAAAAGTCCAAATGTAACACAAAGTTTGCTCGATATCTTTCAAGCGAAGTTTGTTAGGTTGGTTGCTATCTAGTAACGTATGCTAGCCACTGTCAATTCAATTAATTCATGCTATATTCACTTACATTAAGTACTTTTTTTCTCCAGAAATTTCTAAAACAAAGGTCAGCTCTGGTGAGGAAACGTTTTAGCTAACTACCTAAACGACTAAAGTTGGGGGTGGGTGATGTCCTGTTAAACAGGGTAATGTTAAAATAACAACGTTAAACACCAAAGTACATAAACTCCACTGTAGCTTCTGCTTTCTTTGGCAAGATGACAAAAAATTGTATAGCTCCTTGTGCCGCGTTCAAGTGCTAGTCGGAACTAGGAAACTCGGTTAGTCGTTGAACGCGGCACGTGATTAACTACAACAAGTTAGCAAGTACAAAAAAAAATATTCGGAATAAATCCTGGCACTGTAATAAAATGACCAATAATTGTATATATGTCAATTTAGAGTCATTGCTCTGTATGCTTAAAACAACATGTATTCACAATACATCGTATGTCAGGATGGCCGAGCGGTCTAAGGCGCTGCGTTCAGGTCGCAGTCTCCCCTGGAGGCGTGGGTTCGAATCCCACTTCTGACAAATTATTTTTTTTACAACTGATTCAGACAAGTGCGCCGGTGTTATTAAGATCCCCTGCTACAAGTAAGTTTATAGTAGCAACGAACGCAATACTTAAATCAGTATATATAAAATGAAGAAAATTATGTTGGAACTGTAATCCACACGAGGGCACTAAAGTGCAACAAATATAAGCTTATCAAACTGCAGGGATGAATTTTCTCATAAGTACAGATCTAGCATCAACTTCCTATACTTAACTTAAAAAAAATAAAAAATAAAAAAAAAGTATAATTGTAAAGTGCTTATCCCACTGGCTATAGGGTGAATGCACCAATTTGTAGTATAGGGTGAATGCACCAATTTGTAGTCGCTCTGGATAAGAGCGTCTGCTAAATGACGTAAATGTGCCCTTGAGCAAGGCACTTAACCCTAATTGCTCCTGTAAGTCGCTCTGGATAAGAGCGTCTGCTAAATGACTAAAATGTAAATGTAAATGTTAACCATTAGTGGGGAACATGCAAAACATACCCAAGATCAGTGACTAGATGCAACTTCACCCCTACTCCTTTAAATAAAAGATCCTGATTTTTTTTGTTGTTGAACGTTTTGTAATTTTATGCTCATGAATGATCCAAATATTATATAGTTATATTATATTACAGCCTGGCCTCAGAGCTATACGAAATATACTTCACATATTTCTGAGCACCTCCAAGACATATGATATCTACTCATGGTCTAGATCAGGGATGGGCAACTTGTGGCCAGTGAAGGCCCTTGGAACAATTTACACACATACACACACACACACACACACACACACACACACACACACACACACACACACACACACACACACAAATATAGACACAACATGCAACAATTGAAAATATTTTGCTGAGTTACAGTTCAAAATGCTCACTAACAGGAATGTAAACAAATGTGTGCACAACATTTGAGAGATATAAGCCTTTTGTGAGTATGGAACATTTCTGGGATCTTTTATTTCAGCTCATGTAACCTGGGACCAATACTTTACATGTTGCGTTTATATTTTTGTTCAGTGTATCAAAAAATGGTTAGCTGACATGGCTAATTGATTAACTGTCAGTGACTCACATAACAAGAAAAAAAATGCTGATGCACAACAGTAAATTGAGACCCTGACTGTGTGCCCCAAAATAAAGAAGAAAAAAAAGTTTTTTTTGTGTGTGTTTTTTTACTCTGACATGTCACAACCCACTATTAACACGACCCATACTTTAAGAAAGCCTGTTCTAAACGAGACACCCGGTCTCAGATAAAGACTTGCAATAATATACCTCCTCCAAGATGTATGATTAGTTACATCATCCAATTCGTATGCTATTGTACCATACGTCATACTATATATTCATATGCTATTGTATCATACTATACGTCCTCTAATTCGTATGATATCGTACAACCGTCATTCATTTTGATTTAAATTGATTCGGGAAAAAAACGCTATTCCATTCATAATGTAACCTAATATAAGGTAACATATCATACTAAATGGATTGTCACAGATTTACTTACAGGGCCACTTTGTGTGTCATTCTCAGTAAGTTCCTCTCTTAGTACTGGTTAAAATCTTTCTTAAGCCCCATTTATACCTGCTTTTAACTTGCGTCCTTTGTCCACATTCTGATTGTGCTCACATTTGTTGACATGTGTAGACAATCAAAAGACACATTGTGAACTGATTGAGATCAAATCATCCTGCCCACCTCCAGAGGTAGTCAGACATGCATTGTGTCTGGATATCTTACAAGTGTAGACAGATCTGGACAGAGAAACCATTTAAATCATCATTATTCCGCCCTTTAAAATCATTGACAGGTGGCGCCATTGACTGATTACGTTCAATATGTGTCTTACAATAAATAAATCCATATTATTTTGAAAGAATAGTTTTGAAATAATTTGCATAAAGGAAGGGACCAGGAAATCTGGTCACAATGTAGACAGTGGACAGATAACAGACACAGTTTAGTACCATCTGTAGACATGTTTCAGAATGTAGACAAGGCCAGGACAAAGGACCCATGTTAGCACCAGGTATAAATGGGGCTTTAGAGTTAGAGATTTATTTAAAACATGTTTTACACACAACAGTTTTCTGCAATACTGCAGTGCACCACAAAAATAATCAATTCTTAGGTGCTACCTCATTCATTTATTTGGGCATACAGTATGTTCAATTGCCAAGATTATAAATATAAATGATTATGAATATGGTAGGATGCCATGTTCCTCATGAAATGTGTAGGCCTACCTCTTGTTTTGTGATAAAGGGACCAAAACCTATGTCCGTTTCTGCACAGTCTGAGATATCTACAAGATTTCTCCTTGCAGTTCAAATGGCTGATTTACAGTGGGGAAAAAAAGTATTTAGTCAGCCACCAATTGTGCAAGTTCTCCCACTTAAAAAGATGAGAGAGGCCTGTAATTTTCATCATAGGTACACGTCAACTATGACAGACAAAATGAGAAAAAAAATCCAGGAAATCACATTGTAGGATTTTTAATGAATTTATTTGCAAATTATGGTGGAAAATAAGTATTTGGTCAATAACAAAAGTTTCTCAATACTTTGTTATATACCCTTTGTTGGCAATGACACAGGTCAAACGTTTTCTGTAAGTCTTCACAAGGTTTTCACACACTGTTGCTGGTATTTTGGCCCATTCCTCCATGCAGATCTCCTCTAGAGCAGTGATGTTTTGGGGCTGTCGCTGGGCAACACGGACTTTCAACTCCCTCCAAAGATTTTCTATGGGGTTGAGATCTGGAGACTGGCTAGTCCACTCCAGGACCTTGAAATGCTTCTTACAAAGCCACTCCTTCGTTGCCCGGGCGGTGTGTTTGGGATCATTGTCATGCTGAAAGACCCAGCCACGTTTCATCTTCAATGCCCTTGCTGATGGAAGGAGGTTTTCACTCAAAATCTCACGATACATGGCCCCATTCATTCTTTCCTTTACACGGATCAGTCGTCCTGGTCCCTTTGCAGAAAAACAGCCCCAAAGCATGATGTTTCCACCCCCATGCTTCACAGTAGGTATGGTGTTCTTTGGATGCAACTCAGCATTCTTTGTCCTCCAAACACGACGAGTTGAGTTTTTACCAAAAAGTTATATTTTGGTTTCATCTGACCATATGACATTCTCCCAATCCTCTTCTGGATCATCCAAATGCACTCTAGCAAACTTCAGACGGGCCTGGACATGTACTGGCTTAAGCAGGGGGACACGTCTGGCACTGCAGGATTTGAGTCCCTGGCGGCATAGTGTGTTACTGATGGTAGGCTTTGTTACTTTGGTCCCAGCTCTCTGCAGGTCATTCACTAGGTCCCCCCGTGTGGTTTTGGGATTTTTGCTCACCGTTCTTGTGATCATTTTGACCCCACGGGGTGAGATTGAGGGAGATTATCAATGGTCTTGTATGTCTTCCATTTCCTAATAATTGCTCCCACAGTTGATTTCTTCAAACCAAGCTGCTTACCTATTGCAGATTCAGTCTTCCCAGCCTGGTGCAGGTCTACAATTTTGTTTCTGGTGTCCTTTGACAGCTCTTTGGTCTTGGCCATAGTGGAGTTTGGAGTGTGACTGTTTGAGGTTGTGGACAGGTGTCTTTTATACTGATAACAAGTTCAAACAGGTGCCATTAATACAGGTAACGAGTGGAGGACAGAGGAGCCTCTTAAAGAAGAAGTTACAGGTCTGTGAGAGCCAGAAATCTTGCTTGTTTGTAGGTGACCAAATACTTATTTTCCACCATTATTTGCAAATAAATTCATAAAAAATCCTACAATGTGATTTTCTGGATTTATTTTTCTCAATTTGTCTGTCATAGTTGACGTGTACCTATGATGAAAATTACAGGCCTCTCTCATCTTCTTAAGTGGGAGAACTTGCACAATTGGTGGCTGACTAAATACTTTTTTCCCCCACTGTATGTATTTGATATAGTTTTGTGAATAACCCCCACAGTCTGACCCATGTGAATGTCTTATACTCCAACTAGCTAGTAGCTTTAAGTGCAAAGTGCTATAGAAATATAACTCACCAGTTAGAACCAGGTATTGCATGAGAGGGGAGACTAAACTGAAGGGACTTTTCTGACCAGCATCCGACTATCCAAAATCTAAAACTGACAACCTATGCCCTAACCTTAACGAAACCGTTAATGCTAGGGATAGATCCATGCTTTGGTTTTGTTTCCCTGGCTCTGTTCCAACATGGAACCGATGTTAGCATTTTTCACACATCATGTTCAAAACATCTATAAGTGACTCTTGTTGAGCTTCACAATCATTTTTAGATACTTTCAGATGATTTGCTCATGATGCGTGAAAAATGCTAATATCGGTCCCGTGACTTTAATGGGATTTGAGCCACAAACGCTAAAACGTGAGCATGTGGAAACAGTGCCAGGGAAACTAAACCAAAGCATGGATTGCTGTCATACCTGGTCCATAGACTGCTTGGAGGGTTAGGAAACCAATGTGTAATTTTGTAATTTGGCTGAACTATCCCTTTAACCCTAAACCTAACCCTATCATTAACCCTAACCGTAACCTATTTTTAACCAATTTGGGAAATGAAGCAACATCGGCTTGTAGCTCCGTCTCGTCCCTTTAGTTTTTCCTATGACAAAGATGTCCTCATGGAGTCCATGTTGGGGCATTATTATCCTTTTAATGCAGTTGGCACTGCCAGATGGAGGCTGCCTCGTTCATACAATCTCCACATTAAAATAAAATAGAAATGAGTTTATTTCATGCAATTATTAATGATAAACACAAACATTCAGAGCGCACAGCACAACACAGTTTACTTGCTAGCATTTTCATACAAATAGTAAAAAGAGAGCTTGAATCTGAAGGAAACACATACTGTATCACATTGCCAGATATATATATATATATATATATATATATATTGTATACTTCTCTCTGAAGAAGTTTAAAGAAACATGTCTGTAAAGAATATTACTGAATTGAACGTCCAAACTTTCCATTCCAACAGCTTTCACCAATTCTAATGATGTAAAAAAAAAAAGTTAAAACAGCTGTTTCAGTAATCATATACAATAATAGAAAGTTATCTAAGTGATATAGCCAAACCAATTAACCTCAAAATCAAAATCTGCATAAAATAAACAACAGCAAAAATAAAAACATTGCAATAAACAGGCGGTAGTATCTCGTGGTAAGCAGCTCAGTTACCCAGCTCATCTACCCTACCCAACCCAACCCACCACAAACCATTTAACATAACACTTGGATTTCATGTTCTAGAAGAACCACAAAATATTTTTTGTTAATTTTTTTTCCGTCATTCTTTTTTATTTTAAACACAACCTGAAGACTTGGTGATTGGTTGTCCATCATGTTTCTGGGTGGATAACCATACTATCTTCGGTTGTCCTTTGACTACACAGATTGATCCATCAAACATGCTGCACAGCCCTCAACAACACCCCTCAGATCAGGTCAGATCAGACCGCTGTAAATGGTTACATGTTACTTTGTGGTTTTTAATTGCCTGCTTTAGCTTCCATCGTAGAGAAAGAGACACTAGTACTCCTCCATGCCCATCTGTTAGAAGATGTCTACATATTGAACGTCCTCGTTCATGTCCCAAGATGAGCAGACTTCCTGTCAGACCAAATAAATCACACCCCGTTTACAGGATGGCACAGAAGAACTTCTTCTCCCTAAAAGGGTTTTCGGATGCAGGCACCGGTGACAGGAGCGGGTCCTCTTTGGCATGGGCTTCGCAGTACGACATTAAGTCTGCTGCTGCTTTGGACACCTGTATTGAAAGACACACACACACACACACACACAAACAGTTTGACTACGATTCCACACAATAGATTTGTCAGTACTTTTACATTCCAGTGCAGAATAAAGTGGTAATAGCATGGTAACTTTAACCTGTTACCATGCTATCGCCATGCTATCACCATGTTATTACCATGTTATCACCATGTTATTACCATGCTATCACCATGTTATTACCATGTTATTACCATGCTATCACCATGTTATTACCATGCTATCACCATGTTATTACCATGCTATCACCATGTTATTACCATGTTATTACCATGCTATCACCATGTTATTACCATGCTATCACCATGTTATTACCATGCTATCACCATGTTATTACCATGTTATTACCATGTTATTACCATGTTATTACCATGCTATCACCACGTTGTTACCATGCTATCACCATGTTGTTACCATGCTATCACCATGTTGTTACCATGCTATCACCATGTTATTACCATGCTATCACCATGTTATTACCATGTTATTACCATGCTATCACCATGTTATTACCATGTTATTACCATGCTATCACCATGTTATTACCATGCTATCACCATGTTATTACCATGTTATTACCATGCTATCACCATGTTATTACCATGCTATCACCATGTTATTACCATGCTATCACCATGTTATTACCATGCTATCACCATGTTGTTACCATGCTATCACCATGTTATTACCGCTGTATTCTGTGCTGCAACCGATATCTCCTTCTGTATATCCCTTAGTTCCTATATCCTTTTAGGCAGTGATGCTAGCGATTTCTCATATTTCGGTTGTATCCTTTTAGGCAGTGATTCTACCGAACAGTCTCAATTCATTGGGACATGAACTCTACAAGGTGTCGAAAGCGTTTCACAGGGATGCCGGCCCATGTTGACTCCAATGCTTCCCACAGTTGTGTCAAGTTGGCTGGATGTCCTTTGGGTGGTGGACCATTCTTGATACACACGGGAAACTGTTGAGCGTAAAAAGCCCAGCAGCGTTGCAGTTTTTGACACACTCAAACCGGGGTGCCTGGCACCTACTACCATACCCCGTTCAAAGGCACTTAAAACTTTTGTCTTGCCCATTCACCCTCTGATTGGCACACATTACACAATCCATGTCTCAATTGTCTCAAGGCTTAAAAATCCTTCTTTAACCTGTCTCCTCCCCTTCATCTACACTGATTGAAGTGGATTTAACAAGTGACATCAATAGGGGACCATAGCTTTCACCTGGATTCACCTGGTCAGTCTATGTCATGGAAAGAGCAGATGTTCCTAATCCGTTACATCCTTTTGGGCAGTGATGCTAAAGATTTCTCATATATCTGTTAGGTCTTTTATCTTCTTGGCTGGTGATATAGACCTTATTCCCCCTCACCTTTATCCTGTCGATGTTGGCCTCCATCTTCAGCTGCTCTACCAGTTTCCTGGCCTGGGCAATGCTTGCTGTGTTGTTGGACGCCATGATAGAGATTCTCAGCTAGGCCTAGTCTAGGCTGTCTGGTTAGAAGAGAAGAGGTTCAGTTAGGGTTGGAGCTTAAGGTTAGTCTGTATGTCTGTCTGTCTGGGTGGCAACCTGGTCTCGGAGCATTTCGTATAATTCGTGTTATTAGTGCATTCAGAAAGTATTCAGACGCCTTCCCTTTTTCCACATTTTGTTACGTTACAGCCTTATTCTAAAATTGATTAAATAAAACATTTTCCTCATCAATCTACACACATAATGACAAAGTGAAAACAGGTTTTTGGAAATGTTTGCAAAACATGTCAGATAATTTTTGCATTTGCTTATGCCTGTCTGGTTAGCCAGATGGGCGGGGGTTGCCATTTTGCGATGATTCTATTGGTTCCACTGCGCCAGGCAAGCTCAATCAAGCCCAGATAAACAATTTCAAATAGTCTAGTATTTGAACTCGGGTCTGTCATCACCCCATGGCAAAAGTCCATCAAAAACAACAAGGCTGTGCATCCAGTAAAACAAAATGCCATTTTATTCCCAGAGAGGGGAAAGAAGGAGCCGTCACCTCCAACCATCATCACCTAGACCAGCTCCCAGACCAGGGATCATGAAATAGAATAATAATTTGTAGACTGCAAATTGACCGCAAGAAGCCCAAACAGACATAATATTTGACTAAAACATAATCATTTGAACCTTGCTTACATTTGTATACGTTCACACGTCTCTCTATTATGCGTGGGAATACTTGGGAACAGATTTCCAAAATGAAAATCACTAGGAGCTGATTTCCTGGTGTTTTTATCCCCCCCCCAAAAAACAAAAACATATATATCTACATCAATCATTATATATACACACATAAAGTGCCTTCGGAAAGTATTCAGACCCCTTGACCTTTTACACATTTTGTTACGTTACAGCCTTATTCTAAAATTGATTAAATATAAAAACAATACTCCATAATGACAAAGCGAAAACAGGTTTGTAGAAATATTTGCAAATTTAATAACAATTAAAACTGAAATACCTTATTTACATAAGTATTCAGAACCTTTGCTATCAGACTCAAAATTTAGCTCAGGTGCATCCTGTTTTCATTAATCATCCTTGAGATGTTTCTACAACTTGATTGGAGTCCACCTGTGGTAAATTCAATTGATTGGACATGATTTGGAAAGTGCATGTCAGAGCAAAAACCAAGCCATGAGGTTGAAGGAATTGTCTGTAGAGCTCCGAGACAGGATTGTGTCGAGGCACAGATCTGGGGAAGGGTACCAAAAAATGTCTGAAGCATTGAAGATCCCCAAGAACACAGTGGCCTCCATCATTCTTCAATTGAAGAAGTTTAGAACTACCAAGACTCTTCCTAGAGCTGGCCACCCGGCCAAACTGAGCAATCGGGGGAGAAGGGCCTTGGTCAGGGAGGTGACCAAGAACCCGATGGTCACTCTGACAGAGCTCCAGAGTTCCTCTGTGGAGATGGGAGAAACTTCCAGAAGGACAACCATCTCTGCAGCACTCCACCAATTAGGCCTTTATAGTAGAGTGGCCAGATGGAAGCCACTCCTCAGTAAAAGGCACATGACAGCCCGCTTGTAGTTTGCCAAAAGGACTCTCAGACCATGAGAAACAAGATTCTCTGGTCTGATGAAACCAAGATTGAAATCTTTGGCTTGAATGCCAACTGTCACAACTGGAGGATACCTTGCACCATCCCTACAGTGAAGCATGGTGGTGGCAGCATCATGCTGTGGGGATGTTTGTCAGCGGCAGGGACTGGGAGACTAGTCAGGATCGAGGGAAAGATGAACGGAGCAAAGTACAGAGAGATCCTTGATGAAAATCTGCTCCAGAGCGCTCAGGACCTCAGACTGGGGCAAAGGTTCACCTTCCAACAGGACAAAGACCCTAAGCACACAGCCAAGACAATGCAGGAGTGGCTTCGGGACATGCCTCTGAATGTCCTTGAGTGGCCCAGCCAGAGCCTGGACTTGAACCCAATCGAACATCTCTGGAGAGACCTGAAAATAGCTGTGCAGCGACTCTCCCCATGCAACCTGACAGAGCTTAAGAGGATCTGCAGAGAAAAATGGGAAAAAACTCCCCAAATACAGGTGTGCCAAGCTTGTAGCGTCATACCCAAGAAGACTCAAGGCTGTAATCGCTGCCAAAGGTGCTTCAACAAAGTACTGAGAAAAAGGGTTAAAAAAAACAACTGTTTTTGCTTGGTATATATGAGGTATTGTGTGTAGATTGATGAGGAAAAAACAATTGAATCCATTTTAGAATAAGGCTGTAACACAACAAAATGTGAAAAAAGTCAAGGGGTCTGAATACTTTCCGAATGCACTGTAAATCCAAGGCACTCTATTTAGTATGATATGTTACTTTTCGTATGGTATGTATTCATTTGTGAATGCCCATCGTCCAATTTGTATGATACATTTCGAATTAGAATTTGTAGGATATGTTACGAATTAGCAAAATATACAATATGTTTCTAATTGTAAAACATATTTGCAAAACGTATGATATGTTACGAATTCCAATTTGTTGTGGCTAACATTAGCTAGGTGGCTAATGCTAACGTTAGCTAGCTGGCTAATGTTAGCTAGGCTAGGTGTTAGGGTTATGTGTTAGGGTTAGGATCAGGTTAAAGGGTTAAGGTTAGGGGAAGGGTTAGCTAAAAGGGTTAAGGTTAGGGGAAGGGTTAGCTAACATGCTAAGTAGTTGTAAAGTAGCTCAAAAGTAATAAGTAGTTCAAAAGTGGCTAATTAACTAAAATGCTAAAGTTGTCCATGATGAGATTCAAACCTTTGGGTTGCTAGATGTTTGCGTTATATGCCCACCCATCCACACCGAGAGAGAGAGTGCGAAGAGAGAGACTGAGGGGTAATTGTTTTGTCCATTGTTATCTTTTCAGCAAGTACTAATGTTATTTGGTGTGTGTGATTCTAAGAACTGCCATTCTTAGATGACAATGGGGAGGACGTGAGTGTCAAGGGTCATAGAACAAGTTTACACTCCAGTCTGTACACATGAGAGAATACAGTAACATCCATCCCTGCTCACAGTGTTGGTCAAATCATAAATCAGTAGTCTGTCTCTGGTGTAGGGTACAGGAGTTGTCCTCTCAGTCAGCATTGCTACATTACGTCAAATGAATACTAATTCCCTGCTCTAGTAGTATCAGGTAACAGTCTGATACCCTTTATCAGGCTGAGCCCCTAATGGCACCCTGTTACCTACAGTACCCCCGTCAAAAGTTTGGACACACCTACTCATTCCAGGGTTTTTCTTAATTTTGACTATTTTCTACATTGTAGAATAATAGTCGAGACATCGAAACTATGAAATAACACATATGGAATCATGTAGTAACCAAAAAAGCGTTAAACAAATCAAAATATATTTTATATTTGAGATTATTCAAATTAGCCACCCTTTGCACACTCTTCTCTCAACCAGCTTCATGAGGTAGTCACCTGGAATGCATTTCAATTAACAGGTGTGCCTTGTTGAAAGTTCATTCGTGGAATTTATTTCCTTCTTAATGCGTTTGAGCCAATCAGTTGTGTTGTGGCTAGGTAGGGGTGGTATACAGAAGATAGCCCTATTTGGTAAAAGACCAAGTCCATATTATGGCAAGAACAGCTCAAATAAGCAAAGAGAAACGACAGTCCATCATTACTTCAAGACATGAAGGTCAGTCAATCCGGAAAATGTCAAGAACTTTGAAAGTTTCTTCAAGTGCAGTCGCAAAAACCATCAAGCGCTATGATGAAACTGGCTCTCATGAGGATCGCCACTGGAATGGAAGACCCAGAGTTACCTCTGCTGCAGAGGATCAGTTCATTAGAGTTACCAGCCTCAGATTGCAGCCCAAATAAATGCTTCACAGAGTTCAAGTAACAGACACATCTCAACATCAACTGTTCAGAGGAGACTGCATGAATCAGGCCTTCGTGGTCGAATTGCTGCAAAGAAACCACTACTAAAGGACACCAATAATAAGAAGAGACTTGCTTGGGCCAAGAAACATGAGCAATGGACATTGGACCCGTGGAAATCTGTCCTTTGGTCTGGTGAGTCCAAATTTGAGATTTTTGGTTCCAACCGCCGTGTCTTTGTGAGACGCAGAGTAGGTGAACGGATGATCTCCGCATGTGTGGTTCCCACCCTGAAGCATGGAGGAGAAGGTGTGATGGTGTGGGGGTGCTTTGCTGGTGACACTGTCAGTGATTTATTTAGAATTCAAGGCACACTTAACCAGCATGGCTACCACATCATTCTGCAGTGATACGCCATCCCATCTGGTTTGGGTTTAGTGGGACTATCATTTGTTTTTCAACAGGACAATGACCAAAAACACACCTCCAGGCTGTGTAAGGGCTATTTGACCAAGGCGAGTGTTGGAGTGCTGCATCAGATGACCTGGCCTCCACAATCACCCGACCGCAGTTGGACCGCAGAGTGAAGGAAAAGCAGTGCTCAGCATATGTGGAACTCCTTCAAGACTGTTTGAAAAGCATTCCTCATGAAGCTGGTTGAGAGAATGCCAAGAGTGTGCAAAGCTGTCATCAAGGCAAATAGTGACTACTTTGAAGAATCTAAAATCTAAAATATCTTTTGATTTGTTTAACACTTTTTTGGTTACGACATAATTCCATGTGTTATTTCATAGTTTTGATGTCTTCACTATTATTCTACAATGTAGAAAATAGTAAAAATAAAGAAAAACCCTTGAATGAATAGGAGTGTCCAGGCTTTTGACTGGTACTGAGAATGCTATTCATTGACTACAGCTCAGCATTCAACACCATAGTGCCCTCTAAGCTCATCACTAAGCTAAGGATCCTGGGACTAAACACCTCCCTCTGCAACTGGATCCTGGACTTCCTGACGGGCCGCCCCCAGGTGGTAAGGGTAGGTAACAACACATCTGCCACACTGATCCTCAACACGGGGGCCCCTCAGGGGTGCGTGCTCAGTCCCCTCCTGTA